GTCTTCCAGATCTTGCTTTAACTTCCACTGTTCCTGATGACTGCCATTTCTTAATTACATTCCGAACAGAGGATATTGACATCTGAAAACGCTTTGCTATCTTCTTATAGCCTTCTCCAGCTTTGTGAGCGTCAACTATTTTCAGTTTCAGTTTTCAAGACAACTGCTTAGAAGAACCCATGGTGCTGATTGTTGGGGCGAGGTCAGATGAGTCTGGGCATTTAAAACCTTTGAGATTGACATCACCTGGTCTTCCCAGACGATGATTGAGAACAATCCATGACACTGGCAGGTCTCAGCTTTGCAAAGGGGGCAGTACATGCTATAAATTCTGCAGGGTGCCCAAACTTTTGCAGACGCAATTTTTTTTGTTTTCTGTTATTTTGAAAGTGTAAATGATGGAAATAAAATCTAACTTTTTTTGACATATTATAAGAATGTCTAATCTGTAATTTGATGCCTTTTGGAGATTTTTCCATCTTTCCTTGGCTTCTTTATGCACATTAATACAAATTTTTAGCTGGGGTGCCCAAACTTTCGATCCCCACTGTATATATATATATACACACATACAGTATGTCACAGTATACCCCTCACATTTTTGTAAATATTTTATTCTATCTTTTCATGTGACAACACTGAAGAAATGACACTTTGCTACAATGTGACCTAGTGAGTGTACAGCTTGTATAACATGTAAATTTGCTGTCCCCTCTACATAACTCAACACACCTCCATTAATGTCTAGACCACTGCAACAAAAGGGAGTCCACCCCTAAGTGACAATGTCCAAATTGGGCCCAATTAGCCATTTTCATGTCATGTGACTCCTTAGTGTTGCAAGGTCTCAGGTGTGAATGGGGAGCAGGTGTTAAATTTAGTGTTATCACTCTTACTCTCTCATACTGGTCTTTGAAAGTTCAACATGACACCTCAAAATACAAAAATGAGGGGTGTACTCACGTCTTTGAGATACTCTATATATTGTATGTTTAAAAGCATTTTTATATATTATAAAATATATGAAAAATATTTTTTCAAATATATTTTTTAAAATATATTCTTCAGATTTTTTTTTAACATATAAAAAAGTCATTTTAACATACATTTATACATATATTTGTAAATGCATTCCAAAAATGTAGATTAAATGTATTTTTGAAGATATATAGTATATTTGAAATGCATTTTTAAAAATATTTTTCTTTTATTATGTAACATAAAAAATTATTTTCAACATACAGTATATACTGTATATTGAAATATATTTTGGCCATATTGTTGGATACCCATTCCAAATTTCTGCGGATATGGCGTCCCTGGCTGGATATAGCCCAACCATCAAGATTCGACCAGTCCCTTCTGTCATCTCTCAATATGAGGATGGATTCTGCTGTGATTTCCTTGGAGCCCCCCCTCCCCCCTTTTTTTTTTCTCTCTCTCTCTCCTCTTTGTTCGTGTCTTTCCATTGAATGTCTTTTTCTATTCTTCTGTCTAATCTGTTTCTATCCATGTTCTAATGAGTGGGCTTATTGTTTTATGTGCTACATATGTAATGCTACTTATGCAACCTGGATTTCTTCGTGAGCCCGAAGTTTGGTATCTCATGTTTTCTATATGTTGATGTAGCAAAATTCCCTTTTAGAGTCTACAATTTCATTGACCTTCAAAGATTGTTAGTTGTCTCTTTCCTACCCCCCTAATCGTCTTCTCCCCTAGGGCATTTCTGTTATAAGATAAAGTTCACGTTTCTTCCAATATATGACTTACACTAGTGCTCAATTACATTGTACAATTTATTTTTGTTGGTCAATGCATCTGTCTGTCGAATGTCTGTTTAACTTTGCTTACTCTATAATAAAGTTCTTTGTAAAAGAAATATATTTTGAAATATATTGAATATGGACAAAATTGTAGTATTTCAAATATTTTCAATATATTTTGGAAGAATATTTTTAAAATATATTTAAAATATATTTTTCTTCCGTGTGAGCTGGGTCACATGATTGGCTTGGACAGAATTACAAATTGTTTAGCAAGTAAGTCAGTTCCTATATTTGTACTTCCGCTGTGTATTTAGCTGTTTGCCTGGAGTTCAACTTTAATACTTTTTGAAATCTGTTATTTTTTTGGGCATTTCCAATGAATAAATTGTTGGATGTGCCATTTAGCCAGCTGCCGTCATATTACAATGGTGCATCAGAAATGATTCAGCTTTGTTTGCTTATTATTGATTGCCTTCTTTACATTTATTACTCAGCAGAACAGTTCTCCATTAATATTAACTGACACTAAGTGGCTGAATTACTAAACGAGTCATTTTCACCATGTTCTGTTTAAATATCCAGTCAAATTCAAGGAAATTCTATTTTCTTAATCCATCCGTAAATAATTTGTAATCCAGTTTGATTTGCTTTGTCTGTTGAGTTAGAGGTAGTGGTACCTATTAAAGTGGTCCTCTGGTATTTAAACTGCAATTCTGGATTGTGCAAAGGACAGTAGAAGTGATTACTTGTTCTGATGTAAAGTTTGGGCTTACCCTTTTAATGCTGTAAAGAGAATGATATCTCTAGAAAAAGTTTCGTTTATTGGCCGATTTTTCGTCCGAAAGAATAATCGGCCGATTTTCGCACTGTTAGTGGGGCAATGGCATCGGCCGATTTTCGCACTGTTAGTGGAGCAATGGCATCGGCCGATTTTCACGGTTCCTCCTCATTTCTTTTATTGGTCATGCTGGAAAATTTGTAAAAATGTCCGATTTTCGCAATCATTGGTGGCAACAGAACGACCCATGTTTCGTTTTTTGGACATAAAATTGGGCGATAAACGAACCGTCTATGGCCAGCATTAGCATCTGCTTGTCTGACGCAGGGTGTGTTGAGTATTGGCCAGCTGCCCTAGTTGGTGGGCAGAGGGTTGCACATGCGGTACAGGTCTGTGGAAGCAGGTAATATAGGAGGTACTGGTGCACCTGTTCAGGTCTGCAGGAGAAATTCTCTTATTTTGGGGTTTGCAGTTTTTGGGAGAGAGATCCCAACAAAGTCCTTTGGAATGTGTCAGAACAAGAAGCTGTAATTTTCATCTAGATCCCTGGTGCCCAACCTGTGGCCTGAGGGCCGCATGTGATCCTTTGATATGTGATGTGCAGCCCTTGGACTTCAATAGTTTGTAGTGGGAACATTGATTAAGGTAATGGAATTGATCTCTACTAGAATCCTGTAACATGTTTCCAGTTTTGTATTGTCTTCTGCTGCATTTCCCCAACAATTAAGCATGTCCACATTCTCTGACCCTCTTTTCCTCTATTAGGTCTGCAGTCCTCTCAAACAATACATATATTGAACATTATGTGTGCCCTTTCGGTGATGTCAGGGGCTCATAAGTTGACAACCACTGGTGTAGATCAGGGGCGGGCTGACCATTTGGAAACTTGGGCACTGCCCGAGGGGACCGGGGTTAGTAGGGGGCCCCATGAGATGCCCCAATACCTTTTTCATAGGCTTTTTTGAGTTTGGGCAAGGACACAGGGGCCCAATGATGCCCTATTGCCCGGGGGCCCCATGAGTTGTCAGTCCGCCCCTGGTGTAGATACATAGAGACCTTATCACACATATGTGGGTACAAGTCTGAAGATTGTTGAAGGTTCTAGGCTTGTCACAGAGTCATGCCCTTGGAGGAGCAGAGTTTTAGATAAATAAAACCTATTCTAAAAGTGCTGGGAGAGCAGATGTGGACAAAAGTATGGAACAAAAAGCATTTGGAAGAGTGGAGATTGGAGTGCGACTCTCATTCATCTATTCCTTATGAAAAAAAAATCACTTATAATTTAAATATTTGAAGGCTGTAAGTCAAAGAATGATTTTCTTCTGAAGGCAAATGATGAATTTAAATCTGAAAACTCACTTTTATTATTTTGCTATTGGTGTTTAGACTTCATGTATTTAATTTTATTTCTACAGGTGTTTAATACAGCAAATTACTTCCACATCTACAGCTCTAGGTAATGTAACGTGCCTTGAATAATCATCGATATTTAGCACCGTCTTTCCCTGAAAACACTTTTCCAACCTGGTTACGGAATAAACAATTATTCTTAAAGCAACTGTTAAACTGTTAGCTGACTGAAGTGCGGAATGATGTTTCAGGTCACGTTCTCTCATGATCAATCATAACAAGCTGCAATTTACTTAATTTTGGATAATGGCCTTTAAAATGAGAATGATACTTTAATGTGGTGGAAATGCTAAGCGTTGAACCTTGGGCACTGTAAGAGATGTGGAGCATGTGTATGTGAATGGAAGATGCTCTCATGCTGTGATCTGGAATGAAACTCACAAGCAATAATGGATAATAAACCAAAACGAAATGCTTATTTGGAACGAGGAGAAAGACAGCCAAATAAAAGTTTAGGGCGCATGAAAAGTATTATCATGCAATCAGTCTTTCACAGCTTTCAACACATCTGTAGCTTAGTGACAAAATGGCAGCGGATGCAGAAAAAAAAACGATTGTTTCTCTCTGATTTTACGAACAAATGGAATATACTTGGCATTACAGTAGAACTGGTGTTAGGGAAAGCCATATAAAAAAAGTGTGCCTATATAAAATATTTAGTGGTAAGCCACCGAAAAATGTCTGAATCATGTTAAAGATAGGCAAGAAGGTTTTTAGCAGCAGACTCATATAGCAAATTAAATGCCCACCAAGCTTCTCCTACCACCCAACTGGTAAGAGCTATTCAATGCAGTTTGAAGAAAGCCTCAGCCCATGTTTGATTCATTTGCTAGTGCGCCATGTACAAGCTGCTTTGACTTGCAAAAACAAGAGAACGTCTGCTATTGTCCTCCACGTGTGCTGCCCAAGCTTGTGATGAGGGCAGGAGCCTCCCCTTTAAAGATGGCCATTTCCAGTTTTTCAACCACTGCTAAGACTTACCGATATAAGAGGAGGTGGAAGCATCCAGCAAACTGTGCAGAAATAATGAAAATTAAGCTTAGTACCATGGGCGGGCTGACAACTCATGGGGCCCCCGGGCAATACGGGATCATGGGGCCCCTGTTTCCTTGCCCAAACTCAAAAAAGCCTATGAAAAAGGTACCAGGGGCATCTCATGGGGCCCCCTACTGACCCCGGGCCCTCGGGCAGTGCCCGAGTTTCCAAATGGTCAGTCAGCCCCTGCTTAGTACTTTACTACGTCCATGTAACGGCAGCCAACATAATGGGGTTGATTTACTAAAGGCAAATAGGATGCTCACAGGGAAATGGCTTACTATTGTGGGCACTCAGCAGAGGGAAAGGGGGGGGAGGAGCCAAGAGAGCCAATGGGACCGCAGAAGTGAGGATTGAGGCTGCTCTGTTTGTGCATAATCATCACACAGAGCAGGTAAGTATTACATGTTTGTAAAAAAAAACAAAACTCAGAAAATTGTTTCGGCATTCTGATATTTTATTCTTCTGTTTGTTTTGGTATGACACAAAAAAGTGGAGAAACAAAAAGCCAAATCTGACACATTCCATGCAAAACCCCAAAAATGGGCTGGACAAAATTATTGGCACCCTCAATTCAATATTTGGTAGCACACCCCTTGGAAAAAATAACTGAAATCAGTCGCTTTCTGTGGCCATCAATGAGTTTCTTTCACCTCTCCAATGGAATTTTGGACCACTCTTCTTTCACCAACTGGTCTTAGATTGGAAAGGTTGATTTCTCCAACTGCTGTTTTGAGATCTCTCCACAGGTGTTCTACGGGATTGAGATCTGGTCCTTTCCAGTGCTTTGTCTGAAACCATTTCTGGGTGCTTTGGGTCATTGTCTTGCTGTAAGACCCATGACCTCTGGCGGAGACCCAACTTTCTGACACTGGCCACAACATTGCACCCCAGAAGTCTTTGGTAATCTTCAGATTTCATAATGCCATGCACACAGTGAAGACATCCAGTATCTGAAGCAGCAAAACAACCCCAAAACATCAGTGAACCTCCACCATGTTTGATTGTAGGGACTGTTTTCTTTTCTTTAAAGGCCTCATTTCTTTTTCTGAAAACAGCAGAATGATGGGCTTTACCAAAAAGCTGTCATTTTGTTTCGTCTGTCCACAGCACATTCTCCCAAAAGGATTTTGGCTTCTTCAAGTAAGTTTTAGCAAACTCCAATCTTGCGTTTTATGTTTTTGTGTCAGCAGTGGGGTCCTCCTGGATCTCCAACCATAGTGTCCCTTTTAATTCAGATGGCGACATATAGTGTGAGCTAGAAATTCTGAAGGACCCTCTGCACACTGGTATATACCCTTCCAAGCAGACTATGCAATAAATAGGGATATTTAGTTCACACATATTGAAATATATGTTTAAGCTGGCCAACTGCGTCAAAGTAATCCCTCTATGGCCAGTCCTACTCTGCTCTGCCTACGCAAATGCTAATGTGGACCCAATGCCAATATAGAAGAAAAGACAAAGTGGGGGAGAGCTACCAGGTTCAGGTCTGCCTACTGACCCACAATACAACAGACAAGATATACCTGTGCTCAAACCCCAATATCTAGTGCATGCATTTATCCATCAGGTTCTAAAGTGTGTAATCACATATTAACACTAGAAATTCTGAAGGACCCTCTGCACACTGGGATAGTGTGAGCTGACACAGTTGTACCCTGTGCCTGAAGGTCAGCTTGAATATATCTGGAAGTTGTTCTTTATCCACCATTCGAACAACCCTTTTGTCAGGAATGGACTCAGCACTGGTGGTGGGACTCGCCTGCCGTGTGGGCTGCAGTACCAGAGCTGACCAGCGGGTGCTCTCAGCACTGGTGGTGGAACTCACCTGCCGTGTGGGCTGCAGTACCAGAGCTGACCAGCGGGTGCTCTTAGCAGCCAGAAGCTCACAATCAGCCAACCTGGGGCTGATTGTAGAAAGGTGTATATAAGGCATGACCAGGCCTGTGCTCTGGGCCTTGGTGTATGTTTTCCCATGAGCCTCTGTACCTGTATCCTGTGTTGCTGCTTCGTTGCTGACCCGGCTTGATCCTGATCTCTGTTGACCGTCTCCTGTTCTGACTACTGGCTCATCCCTGACTATTCTTCTGCCTACTCCTATGCTGTTTGACCTCCTGTTGCTGTACCTTGGCTTGTGACCCGTTTACTCTTTGCCTGCTGCTCTGTACTGATCTGCCTCCACCGTTACCGACCCGGCTTGTCTGACCACGCTAACTACTCTGCCATCCATCCATCCTGCACGGATCCAGCCGTACCTGCACATACCTCTGGCGGATCCCTCTACCACTAGCAGGTGTACTCAGGGTCCGCGACCTGGTCTCAGTCCTGCACCAAGTCCATCCCCACCATCAGGGGCTCTGGTGAAAAGGCAGACTGGGGCTTAGACTCCGCGCCCTGGGGAATCCTGCCCTGAGGACCGCTAGAGGTACCACCAAACGGTCATTACAGAACCCTACGGCCGGCCTGACCGTTCCACCTCTCCAGCCCTGACTACGCCTGTGTTCCTGCACCTCCTAAAGATTAGTGGAAGGTTGGTTTGCTCACTGTGCGTTTATATATATATATATATATATATATATATATCTGGGTGGCTAATAATAACCTGTATTATACTATACCTGAAACCTGCGTTTCCCTGTGTCACTCCACACCTTTCTGGTCATTCCTTGATTCCTGACACCTTTGTTGCAATCTTTCATCAATTTTTCTCTTCGTCCGCATCCAGGGAGATTAGCGACAGTGCCATGGGCTGTAAACTTCTTGACAATGTTGCGCACAGTGGACACAGGATTATTAAGATCTGTTAATTGATACAGGTGAGTGATTACAAATCACAAACTTGGAATGCAATTATTTCTTACAATTTCGAGAAGGTGCCAATAATTTTGCCCAGTCCATTTTTGGGGTTTTGCGTGGAATGTGTCAGATTTGGCTTTTTGTTTCTCCACTTTTTTTTTGTGTCATACCAACACAAACAAAAGAAAAAAACATGAGAATGCCTAAACATTTGTAATTGCAACAATTTTCTGGGCGAACCTGCGCATCTGACAGAAATGCAGGGGTGCCAATATTTTTGTCTACGACTCTTTCTGTATATATATTTTAATTTTTATTTATTTTATTTATTTTTTTTATTTTTTTTTTATTTATTTCAGGTACTTATATAGCGCCGTCCAATTTACGCAGTGCTTTACATATATATTGTACATTTACATCAGTCCCTAACCCTCAAGGGGCGTCCAACTTACATTCATACATACATAACTAGGGCCAATTTAGACATGAGACAATTAACCTACCAGCATGTTTTTGGAGTGTGGGAGTAAACCCACGTAGGCACAGGGAGAACATGCAAACTCCAGGCAGGTGGTGCCATGGTTGGGATTCGAACCAACGACCCTAAACTGCCAGGTGGAAGTGTTACCTAACCATTTAGCCACTATGCTGCCCAATATATATATATATATATATACACACACACAAAAAAAGTACGGTGCCATGTTTATTTTGTTTTATAAGTTTTATGTATTGATACCTGCGATACTGTGTTGGCTGCTTTTTTTGTTATTTTGAATGACATTTAAACATACATAGCATCAAACTTAAATATATACAGTTGCAAGAAAAAGTATGTGAACCCCTTGGGATTACATGGAGTTTTGCATGAATTGGGCATAAAATGTGCTCTGAACGTCATCTAAGTCACAACAATAGAAGAACACAGTCTGCTGAACATAATACTACACAAACATTAGATGATGCCATGGTTTAATTGCACATAACATGTAAACATTCACAGTGCAGGGAGGAAAAAGTATGTGAGGCCCTAGCTTAATGACTTCTCCCAGAGCTAATTGAAGCCAGGAGTGAGCCAACCTTGACTCCAATCAGTGTGATGATATTGGATGTGTTGCTGACAGCTGTCCTGCCCTTAAAAAACACACACCTGTTTTGGGTTTACTGGTTTCAAGAAGCACTGTCTGATGTGAACCATGCCTTGCAGAAAAGAGCTCTCAGAAGACCTACGATCAAGAATTGTTGACTTGCATGAAGCTGGAAAGGGTTACAAAAGTATCTCCAAAAGCCTTGATGTTCAATGCGTCCCACGGTAAGACAGACTGTCTACAAATGGAGAACGTTTAGCACTGTTGCTACTCTCCCTAGGCGTGGTCGTCCTGTAAAAATGACTGCAAGAGCACAGCACAGAATGCTGCATGAGGTAAAGAAGAATCCCAGAGTGCCAGCTAAAGACCTACAGAAATCTCTGGCACATGCTAACATTTATGTTGACACATCTACAATAAGGAAAACATTAAACAAGAATGGAGTACATGGGAGGACACCACGGAGGAAGCCATTGCTGTCCAAAAAGAATATTGCAGCACGTTTGAAGTTTGCAAAAGAGCACCTGGATATTCCACAGCACTACTGGCAAATATACTGTGGGACAGATGAAACCAAGATTGAGTTGTTTGGGAAAAACACACAACACTATGTGTGGAGAAAAAAAAAGGCACAGCACACCAACATCAAAACCTCATCCCCATTGTAAAACATGGCGGAGGGAGCATCATGGTTTGGGGCTGCTTTGCTGCCTCAGGGCCTGGACGGATTGTTGTCATTGATGGGAAAATGAATTCCAGAGTTTATCAAGACATTTTGCAGGAAAACGTACGACCATCTGTCCGCCAACTGAAGCTCCGCAGAGGATGGGTGATGCAACAGGACAATGACCCAAAGCATACAAGTAATTCAACAAAACAATGGCTGCAACAGCACTTAATACACCTTCTGGAGTGGCCCAGTCAGAGTCCTGACCTCAACCCGATATGTGGCATGACCTTAAGAGAGCGATTCACACCAGACATCCCAAGAATATTGCTACACTGAAACAGTTTTGTGAAGAGGAGTGGTCCAAAATTACTCCAGATCGTTGTGCAGGTCTGATCTGCAACTACAGGAAAGGTTTGGTTGAGGTTATTGCTGCCAAAGGAGGGTCAACCAGTTATTAAGTCCAAAGGTTCACATACTTTTTCCTCCCTGCACTGTGAATGTTTACATGTTATGTGCAATTAAACCATGGCAACATCTAATGTTTGTGTAGTATTATGTTCAGCAGACTGTGTTCTTCTATTGTTGTGACTTAGATGACGTTCAGAGCACATTTTATGCCCAATTCATGCAAA